CTGTTGTACCCCAGTCTATCACTTTACCCTTTCTTCTCATCTCCTTTTAATCTCTCTGATTTTCAGAAACAAGCTCTTCTATAAATTCAAATCCATCTTCCTTTTCTCCCAATTCTCAGCCCTGGCACCAAAGGGGGGAAAAATTACATTCCAAATGAGATCATAACACAGTGATCTTAAGCTGAACTGTACCTTATGGTTTCAGCATCTGTGTTGGCTCCCAGACATGGACTGGTTTGAATTTCCTCGCGGCTTAGTTATACATTGTCTACATATTCCTCTTGGCTTGCTGTCTGCATCAGTCTAACAAGTGAACTTATTTAGGCTCATGAGGAAAGATTTCTGTATGTAGTAAGTGCCTAAAGAGGCAGATTGGTACCTGCTGGAATTTTTCAAAGTATCTAAAGCAACTTAGATACCTAAGTCATATTGAAATCACATGGGAACTAAGTGTCTGTATTCTAAGGCACCTAAATACCATTGAAAAGCTGCCCGATTAATATATGCGCAGTGAGCTAACAAGACTGCGGGATGAGTTTGCTAGGGACTAAATGTAAAGCAGACTGTTTGCCACAGGTCTATTCCATACTCACTGCATGGTTTAGCGTTCCCTAATATACTAAAGGAGGTGGTGGGGTTCAGTGTCCAGAAGTGGAATTATTTTCAAGGTGTTAATGGACTTGACACATGGTGCTGAGATGCAGATAAAGCGCTACCAATTAACTAGCCTTTGCAGGAAGTTGTCACAGAAGTGGCAACTTTCTGTCACTTTTAATCATCTCATTTATGCAGCTTGAACTAATAAACAACTATCATCCTTGATTGTTCCACCCTAAATGTTTGCCTAAGTGACACCGGCCTGGATCAATTCAACTGAGATATTTTTATACATTTAAGATTTAACACCTCCTGCTTTATATATATGCATATGTTTATTCAGTGCCCTATTTCCCGTTGTATTTTTGCTTCAAAGAAAGCTGTGGCCTTCCACAGATTTAAATTGGCTGCAATGCTACACATTGAAAGTAAAGACTCTTTTAATTTTGGTTACATTTATACTGAAAGAACTTAAATGACAAACTCCTTGTCTAGCTCAGTTCATGTACCACAACTGTTGAGTTAATTATGTAGGGAATAGGTGATAAGAAAGCCAATTACAAGCATAGAAATCTCTCTCTAGGTTAGATAATATCATAATGAATGCTAGACCCATCAGAGTGTATGGTATACTGCTTCTGTTAAGTCTATCGTTGTTAGTTAGACAAGATGATTTTGTTTGATTTTAAACTTTTGTTCTGGGCAGTGAGCTCAGCTCACAGGGTCATAATGGTAATAGCTATCCCTTATGAAAAGCATCTGTTTAATTGAATAAAAAAACCTTGAAAATGAGCCAATACCTTTTCATAGAACTGTAAACCAGATTTCAGGATTTGATACTTAAAAGTATTTTCTATTAAATTATATGGGTTTTTAGTTCAAATTCTATAGAACTCCATCAACTTAATCTCAATTAAATAGCATATGTCTTTTCCATAAGGGATCAAATACTGATTACTAGCTGATATTGAACACATTATTTGAATATATTTATGCCAGCTCTCTACTATAAATTATTTAAGAATTCTATAAATTATGAATCATCACTCTATTTTTTTGCCAAATCCCATTTCCAATATTTTAGGACCCTGTACTTGTTATACTCTAAGTGTTGAATCAGGATGTGAAAACTAAATATTCTGCATTAATTTTTGCTCCCATGAAGTCAGAAGCAAAACTCTCATTGACTCCAATATGGCTAGGGAGCTGGACTGGTGACCTCATGAGGTGTCTTCCAGCCATACTTGTCTATGATTCTAGAGTTTCACCACATGTCTTTAAAGGATCCATTGACATCAGGTGTAATGCTTTGAACTATGTAGCTATAATTCAAATCCTGTTTAAGTGGTTCAGCGACAAACAGTATTGGAGCCCAGTTGCTTTCTGGAACTCATGTTAAAAAATGGTGGTCTCTATCCAGTTCCTACAGAACATGTCCATCTGATAAAACTTATACTATTGAATAGTTGGACACTTTGTTCATGAGGGAAGCATCAATACAGAGGCACAAGACTAAGAATGTATACAGACAGCCAATTCACCTCCGGAGGTAAAAGTCCTCGAGGTAAAATCTGGAATCCATTAGCAGAACTGCATGAGTAACCTTTTAGTCTCCTTGCTCTGTCTATTTTATGGACAGCAATGACCATTCAAATTATCTCTGAAGCTTATATAGCTTCCATTACCATTCACATACATTAATGTATTATCCTCACAACACCTCTGCAAGACAGGCAGGTGCTATAACACTCATTTTACATAACAGGAAACTGAAGTACAAAAAGATCAAATCCACAAAAGGATTTAAGCATCTAGCTGTACCTATGGGAACTAAAGTCCACAACTAAACCCTTGTTCTGTGCATAATCAGAACCACCTAAGTGTTGTCAGCACTGAGGAGCTAGGTGCCTAACACATGGCTTAGTTTGTTTGGAACTTATGCATCTCTGATTTGGTTAGTCTATAACAGGGGTGGGCAAAATATGGCCCACAGGCCAGATCTGGCCCACCAAGCACTTTTATCCAACATGTGGAACCCCACAATGAATTGCACCCTGCCCAATGCTTCCACCCACAAGAGTGGAAGCAAGTCACCCATGTGGACACACAGTCCCAAACATACCCTATTGCACCACAATCCTACCCTTGTGGGAAGAAGGGCGCAGCCCAGCCAGCACGCAGCTTTGGGGCAGGGCTGCTGCTGCCGCAGCCCCCAGGGACCTGCTCCACTTCCCAGGTTTCCTGCTGGCTCCAGACTGCAGGTAGGGAAGAGACGGGGCTGGGGGTGGGGCTGGCAGCAACACAGAGCCCATGTCAGGGAGGGCAGCAGCAGCACGGAATGCAGCTGGGAAGCGTGTGGGTATGAGGGAACACAGGGGCTGTGGGTACCCCCCCACATATACTTTCCCCCCATACTCCCTCCATGGCATGAAGCTCCAGCAGGTGATGGCAGCAGCAGTAGGTGGGGTGCTCAGGGTGCAGGTGTCTGGCAGGGCATGGCTTTAGCCAGCTCTGCACATTGCAGCAAGGGGCGTAGCCTCCATTGGGCCGTCTGCATCACTGGCACTCCCCGCACTAACACACAGCCCCTGCACTCACCGGGCATAGAGGGAAGCCCCACATGCTGGAGCCAGCTGCCTTCCCTGCCTGGGCTGCATGGCAGGGGAGGGAACCCCCAGGTTCGTTCCCCTGGGGGGCAGGGAAGGCAGCCAGCTCCAGCGCTTGGGGCTTCCCTCCTGGCCCAGAAAGTGCAAGGGCTGCACATGTATGGCAGGAAGTACCAGTGATACAGATGGCCCAGTGAATGCTGTGCCCCTTGCTATGATGTGCAGCTCTGGCCGGAGCCATACCCTGCCAGGCACCTGTGCCCGAGTGCTCCACCTGCTACTCCTGTGCCATGGGGGAGTGTTGGAGTCCCCACACCCCGCACCTGCCCTCACACCCCACAAACCCCACACCCTGCCCCCTCAACCCCCCACATATACATGACCCCCAACATACCCTATGTCCCCCACACCCCCCACCCGACCCCCTCACAAGCCCCCCCCACAAACCCACACCCTACCACATATACATATCCCATTCACACCCCTCCATATACACCCACACACTCCATATACCCCCACACCCCACCGCACACACACACACACCCCTGCCCACACCCCCAGTATATACAAGACTAAGAATTTCTTTTTGAGTTATTATGCAATCCCCTCTATATACAGTATGCAAATACAAATCATGACAAAAATATTTTTGTAATAAAATTAAAATATGTTACAGAAGGTGTTTGACTTTTAGTGTATGATTTGTTTTTTTTCTGGTTCTAAGATGGC